CCTGCTGAAAGATCCTATTCTAAGTTTCTCACGATCAACTTGGAACATGATGTGAACAAGTCAGAAGGGATGCCAACATCTTAGCACCTGCTTCTAAATTAGTATGCCAAAAATCTAACATGTGTGCTTGAATTTGGCAAGCAAATATTTCTTCCTCCCACTAAGCTTTTCTAAGTAAGCCACATGAGAAAACAGAAAACACCCTTCTAAGCAAGCATCTCAGGAAATATAAACCCTATGTCAGAATGTTAAGGTTCAAAAGTTATTTAGTGTCCATGTTGTATTTTGCTAACCAGATTTCTCCATGTTGTGACTCAGGAATCTGCACTTTGAGAAATGACCAGTTCTCAGTTTCCTAATCTGTAAAGTAGAACTATTTCCTGTATGCCTTGAAGTACTGCTTTGAGAATCAAACAAAACACTGTATGTAACTCAGCTATGAACTAACATATTCTTTATGCCTGTCATAGCAAAATCTGTAGGGACCGACAGATGGTGTAATGGTTATATTGCTGAACTCCCACATAGTCAACTGTGGTTTGAGTCCTGGACCCAATGGCTTAAAACTCACACCAGGTGCATGTGTGTGTATGTGGACCCAAAATTCTGAGAGGAGACTAGAGAAGAAGGGATTGCGGCATGGCCACCCACCCCTAGGGGGTGGATTTCTTACTTTCTGCCTCTCTTTATTTCGATCTCTCTGATGACTGCACATGCCCTATAGCAAAAATCTCCCTACAAAAAAAAATGTGTAATTTTGTACCCATGTACCATATGAATGTAAGACACTGTTCGTGTGACTGTCATACTGCCAAAGCCCTAACACAGGTTCTCTCACTTTTTGAATCACCACTGGCCTAGCCAGAATTTCATATTTTATCCTCTTTTTTCCCCCCATCAAAACACACCCTGCCATGTTCCACTTTTCCAGAGCCAAGGAATTTTTTTTTCTCTGTCACTGAAGAAGTAGACAGTGGGGCCAGCAAGTGGCATGGTGGTGAAGACATTGGATCCCCATATGGAAGACTGTATTTTGAGTCCTACACCTGGTGACTTAAAAAATCTTACCGGGTGCATGTGCATATGTGCTCAAAATCCTGAGAGGAGAATAGAGGAGAAGGAATTGCGGAGAGGCCATGCCCCTAGAGGATGATTTCTCACTTTTCATCTCCCTGTCTCTCTCTGGTGAGTGCACACACCTCATGACAAAAACATAGAGGAAAATAAAAAGAAGTAAATAGTTTCCCATTGCCCTAACAGCAATGATAAGGTAGGCGATGTCTGAAACCAGGGAGATGTTGGAAGTTTCCTAAATCTTTTGATGCAAGCAAATGTGAAACGCCTTGCTGCCTCTGATGGAGACAGAAGCAAGCCTCACAGGAAGAACTCAGCATGAGCCCCCCTCTCTTCCACAGGCACTGCCAAACAATCCGCTGGGTGCCAGCAACTATCTAGCTTTAACTCAGGGAAAGTATCAGTTAATTCTGTTTTAGTCTCACTGCAGTGATGTAAGTTTTAGGGAAAATTAAATTAAGTAAGTGGTTAGCATAAGAAAGCTTTGTTTGTTTGTTTATATTTGCCGAAGGACACAAGAGTTTCCAGAGAGAAGAGAGAGAAAGGATACCCTGAGAGGGCATGGTCATGCCACAATCCTTTTCCTTTACCTCATCGTTCCGTCAGGATTTTGAAAATACACACACACACACACACACACACACACACACACACACACGCCATGCTTCTCATGCTGCCAGGGCTGGGATGAGAACTGCAGTTAGCTGTGTGGGCTCTGACTCCCTATACACAGCGCTTAACCACTGTGCTACAGGCCAGCCTATCAGCCTATTAGGTCATTGGGAAAGTAATGACGTCTTTTTATAAAAAAATGTGTCATGACTTTCCCAGTGACCTAACAGATAAAAAAAAAAAAGCTTCAAATTCATTGGATAATTTCCATGAGCTAACTGAATAAATGGTGAATTTATGCACACTTAAGGGGTAACACTTAGTGCTGACAAGCAGAGTCATGTGGAAGCCCTCTGTCATTAATGAGGTGGAACAATTTAAAGACTTAAAAGTGACTTGGAACTCTGCCTTTTTACTTTTATGATCAAGAGGCTTTCTTTGAGACTCATAGGCATTTTAAAAGTCCCCTCTAGTAAGCACTACTCTTCATCTGGAAGGGGAGGAAGGGGAAAGTTCAGATAGGTGGCGGGAGTCTGCTGCCTGATCCTGCAGAAGCAGCAGCAGAAGTGCAAAGAAAAAAGACATTCTTTCTCAGGACCATCTGAATCAGCAAGGACTGCTGGGATGGGGACGGGGAGGCAGATGGTCCCATGGCCCCCAAATGGGAAGAGCTCAGACATGTCCAAGGCAGCTCTGACTTGGGTTCACAAGTTGTACAAGTGCTCAAGGCCATGGCCTACTGAAGAGATGTCCTGTTCTTTCCTCTGTGCTGTTGCCCCAACTGGCTAGACCCACTCTGTCCAACCAGAGGGAGAGGCTGAGGTGGTGGGTGGGGCAGGAAAAGGGGACGGGGTGAGAAAGGGCTCCAGGGGCCCCAGTGCCATGGGGCAAAGTGCGCAGAAGTGGCAGGTCATGGGTGGAGCAGGTTCCTCAGCAGGGAAAAAGGAGATGAAGCGGGGTGACAGGAAAAGAGAGGAATCTCTGCTCTCCTAGAAGGCTGAAGTGCTTTGGATATTCCACTTAGCTTCTGCAACCTAAGCTATAGGCAAGAAGCCTTGAAGCAGAAAATGAAGCATGTCTCATTTCCCAAATGAACTACATTTAAACATGGGATTATATATTACGCTTTCACGCAACTCCACACCTGTAGCCAAATAAAACACATTAAGGGTTTTGTCCTAGTACAAAGTTGGGAGTTTCCCTTTAGGGCTGGGGCCACTGAACTGGCCATAGGTGAAGAGCCTTCGAAGAGGAAACTGAGCATGTTACTTTTTCCCAATAAAGGACACTAAACAATGCAATTACATAATGTTATTTGTCACAAAGACTCTACTCCAGGAGCCAAATCACATGAAGGAAAAGGAATTTTCTTGTAGGCATTAGTTCGAAAATTCTACTTTGTGGTTGGTGTAACTGGAAAAGCCATAGGCAAGAAGCCATGAAGCTCAAAATGAAGCATGCCTCATTTCCCAAATATACTACATGGACTTATGTAATGTTCTTCCACACAGAGGCTCCACTCCTGTAGCTAAATCACAAACATTGAGAGTTCTGTTTTACGACAAAGTTGTGATTTTCCCCTTTTGGGTTTTTGCTACCAAACTGGCCATAGGTGGAAAACCTGCAAACAGTAAACTGAGCACATCACTTTTCCCTAAGACTATGTGAAGAAGAGAACTACCTAAAGTTTTTTGTCACAAAGACTCCACTCTGTGACCAAATCATGTAGGATGAGCAAACTGTTCTGGAGGAAAGTTTGAATTTCCCCCTTTGTGGCTGGTGCACCTGGATAAGCTACAGGAGAGAAACCTTGAGTCAGAAAATGGACCATGTGTCTTTTCCCAAATAAACAAAGACGCAATTTTCTAACTGGTTCTAACCTCTCTGCATTTGCCGCACTGGATGGAAGGAGACAGGGCAAACTCTGATGTGGTCCCACCTTAAAGCTGCACTGCCAACCTCCATGCTCCCAGCAGTCCTGCCTTACA